AAAGGGTAAACAGAGGAGGACAATTCTGCCTTGACCCTATGGGGACAGTCTGGGTGCAATCACAGCCACCACTCATAAGTTTCCCCTGGGACATTTCAGATCAGTAAAACACAACACCAGAAGTAAGCTGGACTGTGAAAGGACAGGCTGGAACATAAGATACTGGAACCCGTTATTTCTTCAACATTCTTCTTTATTTTGCAGGGAACCTAGAACTCCAGCAGGGGCTAAATAATCCCAAACAAACACATCAGTGACATGAGAAATCCTTTTCCAAGATGGAGCAAATAATAACTATTTTTTGAAAAAGGATTTTCTGGGAAAAGGCAAGGGAAACACAAAACAGCACCCTGCTTTAAAAACATTAATGAGATGTCACTCATTTGAAATGCACAGGCTACCGCTGCTTTAAAGGAGTGAGAGATCAGAGTCCCATTCTAGCCCCACACTGGTTAGATGGGATACCATTCACTATCATCAAGCTAATCACCCAAAAACCATCTCCCTCCCTGCTCAACATGTCCTTACGGACCTGGCCTTGGAAATCCAATACAAGCAGAACTGTGCTTTGTTGGGATGTAACGCCGTTGGTCGCTTTTGAGAACTGTACCCACTGAGTCTGCGGGATTTGGATGGACAATGCACTGTTCATTGTTTCAATATACTTATTTGAAACTGGCATTTAATCAGTCCTCCCCTTTTAGGGAGCCTCAGCGCAATCCTTCTGCACCACACTATGTCCTGCGGCACTCATAAACGGGACATTCAGTAGCCAGGTTGTGACGTATAAGTGCAACAAGGCACTGGTGCCACTCAAGCTGCATCATAATCAACTCAAGAGTGATAAAGCACTAAGCTCACAAATATTGCCTCTGCACAGTCTCATTTACAACCTACCACTGAGTTGTTTGGCGAATGTTAAGAAACATCCTGCAGGACTGAGAGGTGTTTTTCCTGCAGGACTGAGAATAGGTTCAGCTAATGATTCTTTGATGTAGCTTTTTATATGGCATCATTGATACAAGTTTTATGGATGCAGTTGCTATAACAACATAATGCACAGTGGTTAAATATAGCAGCTCCTATTTTCCACTCAGTTTGCTCTGCCGTAAGCAGACAAGGACTATTCTTTTCTGTTCTAGTTGGGATGAAATGGATTTGATAGCTCACCAAAGAAAAGAAGTGGTACAGTCCTTCCCCATCTCACAAAGACCATTTCTCTCCACCCTAAGCAAGCAAGCAAGCAAACAACAAAACCAACAGCCCCCAACTTGCAAGGCTACTGGGCAAGAGGGCTTGTTTAAAATCAAAATGCACAATGACTCATGCAGAACTAAACCACCTTGCTATTACATGTGATCTCAGTGCAAACACTGTCATTTCAAAGTGCAGGAAAGAGAGGTTCTCAAATACTCCTGTCACGTAGTATTTACCATGCTTATTACTGTAGTACCCAGTAACTGGCCAAATGCTGAGAGGGGAGTAAAGTGAACTTGATGTCCCTCAAGACCTGCTCTTCGTTGTAGACGCGTGTAAAGGATCCAGCCTCTCTTGACCACAGGGAAGAGCTCCTGTTTTGGGGGATAAGGGAGAAGGATGTTGCCAAATCAAGGTGATGGGGAAAACAGCAGAGCTACAGAGGACTGCTTCCAATTCTCCCTTCCTTGCTACAGGGGGATTTTCTTGGGTTTGGGTTGGGTTTTTTTTTCCATCTGGAAGCCAGAACTGAAATACTCCCGGAGAGACTGAAATCAAATAGCAATTTGTGTTCCTCTCCCATCCTGTTTTTTCTTCCTCCGAGATCTGAAGCCTAGACACATAACAGCAGCTGGACCCCCTGCAAGCTGTCAGGAGGCAGCTTGCTGCAAGGGGAGGGCACATTTCTTCTGAATAGTTCCCGCTCCTTTGAACATGACCCTGTTCCAGACACTAGAAAAAATATTTATGCCCTCAGCAGATAATACTGAGCATCTGCTCAACTATTACCACTTCCTGAACTGTTTTGTACCTTGAAGCTGTTCAGCAATTTGCACCCCTGAAGCAAGGAGCTGTGGGATGGGTCACACAGGCTGTTCTACCCCTGCTCTTGCAGAAAGTAATCTCTTAGGTAGTGGGCACAAGTCTATCTCCCATAGACAGGGAGCATTCAAAATCACAATCACTGCACCAGCCCTCTGCTTCATCCTTTCCACTTACAGCCACAGTGGAGGCAGAACCCTGCAGACCTTGTTTAATTATGGTTAATAAATACATTGCACGTGATATCTAGAGGGGAGAGTGCATTTGCCTTTTTCTTGCCATGTAGCACTGGGGCCCCAGGGGCAGCATCCACAGCTTTGCAAAGCCCTGCTGGCAGGGAGGTACACGAGAAGCCTCAGCATATGCTCCCAGCGCTGCCTGTACTACCCAATACGTGAGAGCTCATCAGGGCACTGAAAATCAGGAGTGATACCGTCATGCTCTACTTCCTCCATGACACAAGCTGAAAAGTAATGAGGCCAAACAAGCCACTAAAAATAAACTTAACCTTTCAGTGGCCACAGCATCACTCCTGCCACATGCAGATGACTGGGCCACCATGCTTATTTGTGCTGATTCAGGACTGGAAGAGAGACAAGACACAAACTAGCCTTTAGGTAATGAGAGCTGCTTATACTCTGGTGTCCCTATCAGCACGTATCTCATCAGCCCAGGACAATGCTCTGCTGTAGGCTAAAGGCTAATGCAAAGGTCCGAGTTCAAGGGGCTTGCAGATAATTACTACATCCTAGTAACATACTCTAAGATGAGAAAAGGGTTAACATCCCCACTGCACACACAGGAAACCTAAAGCACAAAGGTGGGAAAGTGATCTCTGCACAGCCAGAAAGTGAGAACATAGTAGAGCTGGGATCAAAATTGAGAGTTTTCCTTAACTTTCTCATACATAATGCAGCTGCTTCCCCTGTATCTCTTCAGGATGTAGGGGGACACCTAACAATCTGCCCTTCATTCCTATTTGCAGGCCACATGGCAATTGACTGAGCAAACACTGAAGTCCAGGCAGTGGAAGCCCTCTAGTCCCTCTGTGGCACTGGTGTATAAGCATCGGTCATCAACCTCTGTTCCTCACTCACTCCTCAAATAACATTGCACCAGAAAGCATCTCCCTGCTTAGCCCAAACAAACACACTGTTTGCTTTAACTCCACCCCCTTTCCTTCTGTTGGGATATCTCACAAATTGCTGGGAAAGGCTATGATCCCCTCTAACACTGAATTCCAGACACTGGATCATCTGAATTCCAGCCATCAAAGACTTTCAACATCTTCCCAGAGGAGCTCAGTACGTCACAGTACGGGTTCTGTGGCACTGCAGCTTTCCCTAGGCAAGTGAGAAAGGAAAATCACTGTGATGTTGTTAGCAAGGAGAGACGGGGAGTTATTTGAATTGCACAGATGATTCAAAAAACAAATGGGTGCTAAAAATACAAGATATACTTGCAAAGAGTTCTTCTCATGCCTGGGAAAGGCAGGGGCAGCTCTGGGGAAGATCTTTCTAGGACCCAATGAGGTCTGAATGAGCAGAGGGTTAAAATAAAATCCAGTAGCTGTCTTGCCAGCAAAATTTGGGTGATTTTAATACAAGCATTTTTTGTCTAGTAACCTTCCCACATCACAGCACAGAGACAGAGGTACTCAGAATTTAAAGAATAAAGTGGTGAAGGAATTATTTGACTTAGGAAGAGTGGTAAATAGAGACAGCTCCAGTGAAAGAGCGACATGCATGGGCCAGAGGTAAATTTACGTACCCAGACAGGATGGCAACAACCTCTGGAACAACGGTGGAGAGCTTTCCAAAATCCAACTCCCACTAGCTTAAGCATCAGCTACTCACACACTCTCCTCAAACCAGAGGTACAAAGTGATCTGTGGCATATTTTAGTGGGATCAAGGACAGGAAGAGCAAAGAGGGTCCAGTAAAAGGGAGACTGTCAAAGCACCAGCAGATGGAATAAAAAAAGGATGCTGCAGGTCATTTAGAGAGCTGTAAGAATTTCTCCAAACAGTATCATGTCCCACAGGCTGGTACTCAGTTGTACCAGTGAAGTTAACACTGCTTTTGACTCTAGGTTTTCTGGTTACACACAAACACCACGTTCACTCTGTAACACTACAGGGAGGCATTTGATGAAGCGTGCAGAACACTGTACCTTAGAGCCCCGTAAAGGGAGATGTGGTTAGCATGACCACTCACTCCTCCTGCATCAAAGGTTACCACCTGCAATAAAACCACAGAACAAACATCATTCTGAAGAAGAAGGAGACTGTGCAGTTACTAGCTTTGACATCTAACACAGCCCTGGCCCAGCCCATTGTATCTAAAGAGTTGTTGTTGTGTTGCACAATGAGGCCTTGTGTCTGAACTCATGCTACAGAAATCCAACTAAACAAACAAGACACTCTGGAACTAGATGACTACACAGCCTAACAGCTTGAACAAGAGAATGACGACAAATACCCTGTTCCCACTGGCAAGATGCACTTGCTACTTATTATCAGGCCAAAAGGTTACTTTCAGAGTGACCTGTTGCAAACTTGCTCCTGACCCAAGAGTTCCAGCTCTGTGAATCACTCTCTCGGATTTGAGAACACACTGGCACGCCTGTGGATTACAGGGTGAAACTATAGTTTGTTGTACTGTGAATCATGACATATTGCTTTCACAAGAGCAACACAATCACATACTACTGTCTCGATTGTAACCAGGCCTCATCAAAGGATAACTCAGTGACAAAATAATCTGATATGAGAATAAGCCTTTTTAAAGAATCACTTGACTGCACTTTTTGTACAATGAAGTCAGGCATTTTGCTGAATGAGAAGATCATCTTGTTTACTGCTTCTCTGCAGGGAGAAGTGGGAACCTCATAATGCAGAAGTAATGTGTGAGCACAGCACTAACAAGCCATCATCTGAAGCACAGAAAACCCTTGGCCCCTTGCCCTCAGACCTACCAATAATGCATTGGGAGCAGCATCACTCTGGATGTTAAGTTAAAGGCTCCCACTTCCAACCTAGAAGACAAACTGTCAGCACAAAGGGCAGAGCAGACAGGGAATGTGTGCTGGCAGGCTTTCCAGATGGTGAAAGTGACAGTCCCTGGACAGTCTAAAGTCAGGTTTTTGCTCTGGGACAGGCCAGGCAGCAGAGCTCTCCACAGCTGCCTTCTCTGCGACCAGGAAGAAAGCATAACCTCCCCACATTTCAGTCAATGTCTGCTTCCTTGCCAGCTTGTTCTTTCTTCAGGGAAGGAAACGCTACTGCCTTGCTTACTCACCGCAGCTCCTTTCTCAAAATCTATTTTATATGCAGGGCCTGAAGTACTGGGTTAAAGATCAAGGGAAGATCAAAAGCTGCCCTGCCCTCCTGCAACTTGCTACCCCACCCTCCAGCAGGAGAGGCCCTCTGAAACACAGGGGTTATTGTGTAAAGAGGGAGAGGAAACACAGACAGTGATAAGAAATACTTCAAAAACCGCAAACTCCAGACAGGCCTGCCTATAAACCCATCCACCCAGTACAAGCCCACAGCTGGGTTTTCCACTTTGCCCAGTGCTGTAATAATGCTGCCACCAAGCAGTGGGGTTATTCATTGCTGGCAGGAAGTGGTGGGACCCAACTTGGTTTCATTCCAGTACAAGGAAGCACTTTCTGATCAACCCTTGTTTTCTAAGGAGAAAAATTACGTCTTCAGCTTTGTCTGCTTTTGCTGTAAATCAGCACTACCTGAGAGGTTCTCTGCAGGGACTGCACGGTCTGACATGGTGCTAAACCCTCCCCACATGTATCACCTTTTTGAGTAGCTCATCTGGGAAAGACATCAAATTCTGTACAGCTCAGGGAACCAGCATGGCACCCTGTATTTTACAGACAAGAAAAAACATGCTCTGAAGTCACTCCTCCCTAGAGTGGCACCTTCCTAAGATGACAACGTACTCCACTCACTGCAGGCAGAATAAATTCCTGTGCAGGGGAATAACAGCGTGAGTCTGCTAAGGGCTGGACTTGCGCTAAACCTGTTTACTAAACAGGGACAGAGGGTTTGTCTCTTCTGCCTGGTCATTTATTTTCATGTAACCTGTACAAACAGAACATTTTAAGACTACTACCCTGCTGTCACACGTGGCTGAAATTAGCCAATGGGCTCTAGAGTGTTTTGAAATACCCATGTGCACACACATACAACTGCATTATTCTTGTTTCCTTAGGAAACCAAGCTAAAAACTCAGGCAAGCCAAAACACACATTTTCCCTCCTATGGAGGGTAGGAGGGAACAAACCAGAAGACCGAGATAAGAGGCTATAGTGAGCAGACTAAACAAGCTAATCATTATTTTGACAGAAGTGGCTCGGGCCAACTGTGGGAGCACAAGGCTGGGTTAGGAAATACTCTTGATGTGGAATTTATCTGTTCAGAAACACCTTTAGAGGTTTTTCTTCTCCACATCTGTTTTGAAATAGGATCTGCTGTTCTTAGTGCTGCTGGGTTTACATAACATCTCAACTAGCTGAAGAGATTGCATGAAGTTAATTTTCAGTTGGTGGAGTCTAATTTACTGTTAGGACATTTCCTCCTGAATTGCCTGTCTCTTCTAATATACAAATTTGTAAGCAAAATTCCCAAGGTATCTCCACACTGACCTGACCAATGTGGCATTCACTTTATCTGCAAAGAGACCACCTTTAGAGATCTGTCCCAGCACACAGGCTGGCTCTGACACAGCAGTGATGTCTCACCTATCCAGGATGTAGCTTCTAAATCTGTTGTCTAAACAGGGAGTGATTCTACAACATCACTGTGGTGCTTGTGACTTAAAGCAGACAGCAATCACATGAAAATATATTCCTCTGGCTTCAGGGATTCGTTTCATTGATAACAAATCTGAATTTCTTTCTCACATGCTGAAGATACTTTCACACGGGAGCACTTGCTTCTTCCACATGATGCAGCTGGCCAGTGTGCTTGCTTTTAACACACAACCTGAACCAGGCTGATGATGAAATCCAGCAAACAATCAGGGCAGGATGAGAAAACCTGAACATCTTGAAACTGTCTGGGTTAAAAACAGGATTAGCCAGTTCTGGGAGCAAAAGGCTGGGATAGGAAGTATACTTGATGTGGAAATTATTGCTCAATGAAATCTTTAGGGGAAGAGGGAGTTCCCTCCCCACACCTGTTCTGAAATGGGAGCCGCTGCTGTTGGTGTTGCTGGGTTTTCTTCTGGGTGACCTTGGTATTCAGGAAATGGAGCTTTCACTAGTGGAAGCCAGAGCAACAGCCAAGACAAACAGGTCCAGAAATCCCTTCCGGAGTGGGGAGAGCACAGAGGAAATTGCTCAATTACCAGCAAAAGAGAAAACTCCTGAGAGGTTTGGAGTCCATGCTCCCTCTACACACCATGTGCATTGGAGGAAAAGAGCACTCAAAGCTGTGGGTTTCCCTCACTCTTTCTGGTGTCATCCAGTGCTCCAAACAGAGTGCACATCTGCTCAAGTAGACTGGTGGGGATAGAAAGGTCTCCTTCCTTTTTAAGAAAGGCCATCCCATAAAATGCCATAGCAGGCAACTCCATTTCTAATGGCCTTCCTCTGAGCATCATTTCACACGCCAGACTTACACTTGCAGAGGCCAAGTGACATTCAAACTCCCTCCGAGCCTCTTGTGTGTTTGGAAATGTCTCTTGTTGCTACTAAATCAGAGAAGCTAATTATTAAAAAGAATGGACAACTGGATGAAAAAGGAAAAAAGTCATTGTGATCAACATCCCAGTGTCCACTGGGTTTGAGCTGCAAGTGTGTAATCACACACCAGCTCTTAGAATGAAAGGTCCTGGGGTCCTCCCACGGATGTACCCCAAAGCACACCTGAGGAGACTGCAACATAAGCGAGGAAGGGAGACAAAGGGATGTGGAAGTCTGTCTCAGCTCTTTGGCCTCCTCTAGCAAACTCCACATGCTGCACTCCATATCTGGTCTTCTGCAAAAGCATTTAAAATTCTCTATAAACATCACACATTCAAATGCTCCTGAATTTTAGAAGAGTGTAGAGGCCAAGATGCAATACATGAGAGCTGAATTCACCCTCTCAAATACAAGCTCCAACTTGAATGCCATTTGTAGAAGGATCTGGCTTTGTAGCCTGATCTGGAGCTGACCCAATACAATCGGACTCTTCCACAGACAGCTGTATGGATGATGTTTCCACCAATCCATAGGGAAAGCAGCTTGTCAGAATGTGGTATTGCTGAATTCTGGTCTTGGCAATGCATTTGCCCCAAACACAGAGTAAATGTCACCTCCTAATCCAAGCTCTGCTATCACCAAACTTGAGATCCTGAAGAGCAGGACTTCATAATCTAGAGCCTGCCTGGGGCTCACACAATACTATGTAATTTATTTTTCTACACGCCAAATACTTTCTAATCTGGATTGAGACAGACTAGTCTTGGCTGCCTCTCCCAGCAACACTAGCTTTTGCTTATAAATCCAGCAGGCAGGAAATAATTTCCAGTCTATAAATTAGTTTTGGCCTTAAATACACCAACCGTTAATTTCTGCGTCTGCACTATTTAACGTAGAGCTTGGATGAAATATATCCCTGAAACTCCCAAATAGATTGAGTTACTCATGGATTACAGGGCAATTGAGGAAATGAGTAATATGCAATGGAATAAAACTACACATAACGTGGTGTGACTCTGCCTTGCAATCTTTCCTTTCAGACATGTTGGAATTGCAGCTTGCTTCTCCATGACATATACGCTTTGTAAATAAAAGATACCATTGTCTATGCTACGACTACAGAACTGGGGAAGGTTTTCCCACTGGTATAGCTAAAAACAATAGGTGTCCTCCAACCACATTGACTCTATTGAGTTAGTTTGTTGTGTTTGAAACCCTGTTAGCTTATGTTTTGACAAAGCCCTTTTAACACTTTCAGCCAATTCTATCAATTTCAACATCACTGAAAAATAGACTCAGTTTACCTTTCAAGGCAAGGGCATTGTCTCAGAGCAGCAGAGATGCTCCAAGAGTGGCTAACAGATAGCAAGCTGTGAAGTTTTAAAATGCAGAATGTTGCACAAAGCTAATTAGGTGCTTGCCTCGCTGTTGTTGGCAAACTAGGTCTGCTCCTAAATGAAGGGTATTACAGCAAACATCTGAGACCTCTGTGATTACTTGGGACACTTAAAATAACTTGAGTTTACAGAGCAGTTCATTACCACCATCCCTGAGAAGCTGCTTCAGTGGTCTTTGCTACCGCTGATGTGTTCTACAGCAATTTGTCCTCACTGCTGCTCAGGAACGTGCTGAAGGGAAGGCAGTGGGCCCTGTTCCTCGTTACTACAGCTACACCTGCAGCCGCAGCACAGCGGGGAGAGTACTAGCTCCTGTACATGTGCCTCGCTTTGAAAACCCTGCACTTGATTTCTCAGCTTACGCTATGTTAGTGGCAGACTTCTGCCTCCCCCAGCACAAACAGCTTGAGTTTAATTTCCTCTGAGGCAAAGACCTAACCCTTTCTAACCATCTAGAGGAAGCTCAAGTGTTTTCAGAATTTCTGCTGGGATTCTGGTGCACTTGTCCTAGCGCCTGAGAGAGTCACAAACATTCAATACAAATCCTCTTGCATTTCAGATTAGATTAAAACTTATCTATTTGTGGTGCCAAAAGACAAAAGGAGTCCAGGAAAACGGCATTTGTCTCTCTGCACAGCAATGAATTTCATGGAAAATTAGCCTCAGAATTGATACAAAGTTGGACGCATGATGCTGTTTTTTTCTGCTCATGGGGCTTTCATACTACAGGAGATGTGGTTTCTTGTTTTGTGAATTGCTGAAAGGCTTTAAGAGCTTTGTGATTTTGCTGCTAATCAGCGTGTGTGACAGTGACATGCCTGATCACAGCAAGGTTCAACAGAAAAGAACAGAACACAACCTTTTCCATGCTTAGGCCCTTATTCCTGTTCTGTGGGGAAAAAATCCAAACCTGTACCGGTGCTAGGAAATCTCCCCGGTTGAATATTCTTCAATCCCAACCTATAACCCTGCTAATCTAGCTCTCTAACCCACGCCTGCCAACACACACTGCCACCTACTTCAAACCAAAGCCTAAACATAAGCCTAAATCCCAGATGAGCTTTCATGATCAATGAAACTTAGCAACAGGGGCAAAATGGTGGCTTTAAAATGTAGAAAACATTGGAGGAGTTAGTAAAGCAGAATTCCTCCACTGCTCATTTCTCATTGTGAAGCAAAGGAAGATCTCCAGATCTTTCAAAGAGAGATACACCCTAACTACACCATCATCCTTTTCCATGTTTTCCAGTGGAGCAATTCTATTTGTTCTGAACTTCTAGCAGTTGTTTGAAGTGTTTGAAAGAGGATCAGAATGACCATGTCTTACTTGTCAAGACACAGGAGCTATACAAATACTCACAAAAAATCTTAAACTGCTAAACACAAAACTGCTTTCAAATAATTTTAGACCTGAAATTCAGCTGGGCTCATTCAGAGCATCTTCTACAATTAATGAATCTCAATATCTACTCCAGTGAAACTTACTAGTTCCAACAGAGTTTGCAGTTTTTAACAAATTTGAAGCTTTTACTTCAGTGAAGGCTGGTGGCACTACAACCCAGCAGAGGCTTCATCAGATCCAGATAGAGAAATGGATAAACATTATACAGCACATATTCCAAAACAAGTAAGCATACTTTCTCTCTCTCCTAGGCTATTTCACAGGGACTCCAGAAGCAAAATTCTAGTTTTTAAGACTTCAAAGAACACTTTCAGACAGAAGGAAAAAGCCTAGAACACTAGGCCAAAAGTAATGTGGAAATGCCTGTGCTGTAGAAAGTTTCACATTACCAGGTTGATGTTATTGGCTTCTATATGCTTCAGCACAAAGCCGGCCAGGAGCTGTGTGTCCCATTCAACAGCGGGATTATCTGGAAGATCCCTGAAAATGAGAAAAGCAATTAGTCACTTTACTGTTGAGAAATTTATAAAGACCATGCTAGAAAAGAGAGATCCTCTTATCAAAGAATGAAATAAAGAAATTTATTTACCATATAAAACCACTGAACCTTACTTGTAAGAGTCCTACAAGCAAAGCCCTCTATTTTGCCTAAAAGCCTCTATACTGGAGGGTTGAAAGGGAAACAGCCATTCCAACACCATCCTCATAGACTTGCCAAGGTCTCCCTCTCTTCTCACCATTAAGGCAGACTTTCTGACTGCTTTACTTTAAGGAACATCTATTCTGTTCAATGCTTCTTGCTCTCTATTCATCCCAATCAAATTTATTTTTCTCTTCATTTAAAACCCCTTTTTAAACACATTTTCCTGAAAGACTTTCCAATCATAATGTCCTAGTGAATTACATATGAAAAGTAACAAGCAAACTCCTGCTCTCATTTATACAGGAATAACCCATTAACCTCAACCAGAAGACAACAGGACCGTAACAATATTGCATGGATTTGATAGCAGTTCTTCATCTGTTCATTTTGTGCTTTGCATACCAACCAACTAGGTATGCAGAGCATACTGTGACTGAATACTCTGCCGGGGTATTTTAGATTGCAGGCTCCTAGGGGCAGGGACCATGAGCCAAATGCAAAATAAGACCAGGCAGCCAACAGAATTATTCCATATTTACACAACTGAGAGATGAATTTGACCCCCCAGTCATTTATGGTTGAATGATGCCAAGAAAACATAGCTTGCAAAGTTAAAAAGGTTATTAGTAACAATAGGATAACACACAGCTGCTAAAGACCAATAATGACATACTCAACTGCTCTTTTTCTCAGACCTTTTCTGCCTTTTGATAGTCTGATAATTGCTGTGAGGTGGTTTAGCAGAAAAGTGACTACACATCCTTCTCACACAGACACATGGGTTTGGATCTGAACTGACCCAGCTGTTTGCTGCACAGAGCAGAGGCACTACTTCCCAACACTATTTGCGCCTTGCTGACTCCCTAGACAGCAAGGACGATAACATCTGCAACAAAACACCAGGAAAATGTCTCCTTAGCACATTCCAGAGTAAAGTTTAGCCTCGGTCTTCATGAGAAGTCTTCTGGCCACAAATTTTCCCACTGCCGTTAACAGTAGTAGAAGAAGGAAGAGCCTAAAGTACAAACTGACCACTAGCATTTTACCCATTGTGCTACATACTCCAGTTCAGGACGGGTCAAAGTAACGTGCTGTGAGAAACCCCAGCAACAAGGGAAGGCACTTCTACATCAGTGTGCGCATTCTAGCTATGGTCCCTGTAGTGGTATTAATAGAAATTTTAGTTGTTGTTTGCAATGCCCTCTTGTATAGACAGCATCTTTGCCTGATGTATACAAGACATTTGAATTTCATCATAGGAAAGATTCTTTGGTACATCTGGTGGCTTTCTCATCCACTTAAACTTGCATTTCATCTGCTCAAGACAAAAACTTTCACATCTCATGTTTGAAGAGGAAGTGGTCCTGTCGACCCCGAAGGTATTACAAGTCCCACCACGTCACAGCAAGCTTTAAATTGAGCACATTTAAAAACATGCTTCAATTAAAACATCCCAAGCAACATGCACACTGAGCAGAGTCTAAATGCAAGTCCAACAGTGCTTCAGTTTTTGAATGGTAGCTTTGAGGTTATGTCAAGGCTTAACCTGATAATATTAAAGCAGTAAATTAGTAGAAAAGGGATTCTTCACTGCCCACTTACAATGCAAATATCATTCCCCTTTTTGGACAGGGGTTAAATGGAGCTGTGGAGGAAATGAAGTGTGCCATTAAAATAGGAGGGGTGCTCCAACAGTGAGAGGTCAGAAAAAAATGTAGGGCTTGGAATTTATGATGTCCAGGAGGCTTTGGTGTCACAGCCACTGCACTCAGCTTTATTGGGCTGTCTCCAAAAAGGCTGCCGGTAGTGGAGCAGGTTTTAACTAGTTTAGACAGATAAAGATCACCCTCGTTCAATGGAAATGAACAGCTGGAGGCAACGGTTTAGAATCCCTGGAAACAAAACAATCTGAAGGCATGAGCAAATTAACTCCATGAACACTGAACCGAATATTCTGAAAAAAAATCCTTCTTCTACCCACTTACTGCTGCTTATGGAGAGACCACTCACCCCAGTAAGGCAAAGGAATGATTTTTCTTGCATAATATAATTTGTCAGGCACCAAAGACAGAGAAGCTGATCTTGCCAAACAAGACACACATGTACATAAGCACATTCATAACTCATTAACAGCCAGGATGGCCCACTGAAGTGCTCTTAGCTCATTCTGCAAACACAGAAAGTGACACACCGGTTAAATGACATGCCCAAAGTCACCCAGAGAAGCCAGTAGCAATCCAGATTGCTCCAGGAAATTACTTCTTGGTTTTGTTTTGTATTTTTTTGTGGTAAGAGTTTGCATAATGATTTGTAAAGTCAAAAATTTAATTTTGCCATGAGAGTAGGGACCCCACTGAAAGCATGAGACCAATAACTTTCTTGCCTGTGCTCTGGATATCAATAGTGGGGTCCAGGTAAGGATGAAAAGGTGACTAAGAAAACCAAGTTCATAAACACTGTATAGCAGTGCACACAAGACACCTTCTTACAGGAGGTCTCTACATGCCCTAGGAGCTTTGTAGGAGCATACAAACTGAAAACTGCTGTAGTGCAGAAAATCATCTATTCAGTACAAAATATTTTTCCTAATGTCATAAATCAGTCTTCAGCAAACCTGAAAAGACCACTGACTTTCTGAACCATTGAATTAAGTTGCGTTCATCATGTTTCTACCTTCAAGACTTAGTATCAGAAACAGTCGGCATTTAAATGGTTAACTCTGCAATGCCTTTCTGGCTGAGGCTGATAATGCCTCTGAGCTCAAGGTCGAAGGGCTGAGATAAAGGACTATAAAGGAGTGAAAATTAGCACATTCCCTGGAGCAGACTGGAGCTTGTCCCAGGAGACAGTTCCGCACTCCTGCCCTCCCTGTCCTCTGCCCCAGCGAGCTCCTCCGCACTCCTGCCCTCCCTGTCCTCTGCCCCAGCGAGCTCCTCGTTGCTGCTGTCAGTCATTGGGACAGACGAAGATATAAATCCTGCACTGGAGAGGCCCCCCAGGTCACTCTGCTAGAGGGTGCTGGTGGGAAGGGGAGAGAGGTTTGGTCATTTGTTCTCATTTCCACCACACTATTATGGTCTGGAAGTGATGTTTATGGGCATTCCACATGACTGATTCCGACTGCAGGTGGCTGCTTAGCAGGATGCAACGCTTGTAGACCAGGGAAAAATACGGAGATGCATAGAAGAATCAAAAGATATATATTTTTAATGGAATAAGGCTCCAGAAACATTGTTTTCCCAGCTATTTTCACTGAAAGCCATGCTGTGCACTGTACAGGGAATTTACAGTTGTGCCAAAGGATCTATAGACTGAAGGGAGAGAGAAATGGCAAATCATGGTGCTGCAGTATGGAGCAGTGTCTGTCTCTGTTTACAATTTCAGCAGG